GATCAGTGTAAATAGTGTAATGTCGGCCATATAGAAATTGGTGGAATTTCTTGACCGCAAATACCATAGCCAATCCTTCTTTATCCAGCTGAGAATACTTCTTTTCGGCAGATGTCAATGTTCGCGATGCAAAAGTAATCGGTCGTTCACTCCCATCTGGCATCTCATGAGATAAAACCGCTCCAACACCATAGGGTGAAGCATCACAGGATACGGTTAATTTCTTGTTTGGGTCATAATGGACTAACACTGTTGCAGATTGTAACAAAGTCTTAGATCGTTCAAATGCACGAATCTGTTCTGTGTTTCATTTCCATCTCTGATTCTTACGAAGTAGCTGGTACAGTGGCTCTAACTCAGTTGACAGATTTGGTAAAAATTTACCATAGAAATTGAGCAATCCCAAGTATGCTTTCAACTCGGTAACATTGGTAGGTGTAGGTGCTTCTTGAACTGCTTTCACCTTGGCTTCAACTGGATAAATACCCGTTTCGTCGATACGGTAACCCAAACACTCGAGGGTAGGTTGCATAAAACGACACTTCGACTTCTTTAGACGTAACCCAGCTTCAGAAAGACGCTTCATCACTTCTTCCAGGTTCTGAAGGTGTTCTTCATCCGTCGGTCCAGAAATCAAAATGTTATCAAGAAGGATGCCAGTGTATGGAATTCCGTTGAGTAAACTTTCCATCGTTCTTTGGAAAATTCCAGGCGCAGATGATACACCATATGGCAGACGGTTGTACCGGTACAAACCACGATGCGTGTTTATCGTTACCACGTCCTTCGAGGCGTCGTCCAGGACCATCTGTTCGTAAGCGTGGCTTAAATCGAGCTCAGTGAATGTTTTCCCTCCTGCCAGTTTATTGTGAACTTCTTCGATCTTAGGTAAAGGGTAGGCATCCGATCCAAGCGGGAAACTTTGTTCACAGTCCTTTTGTAGTCCCCACACAATCGAACACTTCCGTCAGGTTTCATGATTGGTACCACTGGCGTTGCCCAATCTGAATACTGTACGGTTTCAATTGTTCCTTGTCTTTCGAGCCTTTCGAGTTCCTTTTCAATCTTAGGTTTCATCGTGTATGGTACCGACCGAGCTTTACAAAAAATCGGTTTCGTTGACGGGTCGACGTAAATCTTGGCAGTCACGCCATTCAATTTGCCTAATTCGTCTGTAAACAAGTCGTCGTACTTGTTTAAAACCTCTTCTAAGTTAGGCTTGGCTAGTCGTTTGATGCTTGTCCAATTTAAGCAAATGTTTTCAAGCCAATTTCGACCAATCAAATTAGGACCATTGCCTTTCAGCACCAATAATGGTAACCGACTAACTTGGTTATTGTATTCGACCACCACTTCAGTAATTCCCTTCGGAGATATTTTCTCACCAGTGTAGGTACGTAAGGAAATTTCAGTTTGTTTTAAGTCGAGATTTCCTTTACCGCGACTAATTTCTTGCAATGTTTTCTCATTAATCACCGAGAACGATGCTCCCGTATCAATCTCCATGTTGATATCAATACCATTCACTGTCATTTTTTCGCGATACGGCGGTGTTTTCTCTTTGTCTTTGAAGCTGAATAAATTATACGCTAGCTCTTCGTCGCGTTGATGCTGTTCAACTTTATTCATTTCCGAATCCCGTCCTTTTTTCCCCCGAAAGTTTTTCCCTTGCTTTAGTCGTTTCTCGCTTGAAACCTTCTTAGAACTTCGGCACACTTTCGCTATGTGTCCAATTTTACCGCATTGATGGCACTTTTCAGTTTTAAACCGGCACTTTGTATGGTCGTGTTTACCACCACAACGATAACATTCTTTGTATTCGTCGCTGTGTCTACCGCCGTGTAATTTATTCATCGAGTGTTTATTTGGCATTTCTCCCTTCAAGTCACGAACATCTTTAGCGGCTGTTTCCATCCCGTGTGCAATTTCTAAAGCTCGTTTTAAATCTAATGTCGGTTCAGCCAGTAAACGTCTCTGTATTCGATCTTCGTTGACACCACAGACTAATCGATCTCTCAACATTTCATCTAATGCACTACCGAACTCACAATGTTCAGACAATGCCCGAAGTTCGGCCATAAAAGTCGAGATTGATTCGTCGTTTCTTCTGACCCGAGTATTAAATTTATAACGTTGTACAATTACTGATGGCTTCGGAACATAATGGTTTTTTATAGCTTCAGATAATTCTTCATATGACAATTTGTTCGGAACCTCTGGCCGTATTAAACCTCGCAGTAGTTTATAGGTTTTCGCACCTATAACACTCAGGAAAATCGAGCGTTTCTTATCTTTGTCTTCGATATCATTCGCTTCGAAATAGTGATCCATTCGCTCCACATACTGTGTCCATTCTTCACTCTCGTCGTATTCATCTATTCGACCGTACGTAGCCATGTTACGCCTTAATTTTTTACCTTCGTCGCCAATATAATATACTCAGTCTTGGGTAGTTTAATCAGCACTTTATTGACATACGTATGCTATTTATACAAACTGTTATGAATATATTACAATGACTAATTTGGACAACTGATTAACATATATTACACAATCTTGACTATACTACATATACAAGCAGCATGCTGACTACCGATGGTGTCCGTCCAATGACTGGAAACCTTAAAATGGGAGGAAACCAGATTCTATACCTTAGAGACCCCACAACGGACACATCAGCTGCTAACAAGCGATGGGTAGAAGATACGATTAGTAAAAGTAGAATCGGACGTGCCTTAAATGATGACCTTGACATGGGTAATAATGAAATTATAAAATTAGGTGCTCCTACAACTGATAATTCTGCTGTTTCCAAAAAATGGGTCACCGATCACGTTAGTGGGAGTTCAATTAGTAGTAGCGGCTTTACTATGACAGGTAATATTGACATGGGGGGTTATAGTATTACGGGTCTCAAAGGTGGGTCGGTTGGGGATACCAGTGCACTTTCCGCTAATACTATATACTCCTGCTGTAAACAGTTCCTGAAACGTAATGGTGGTACTCTGGATAGTGATCTTGATGTTAACGATTATGAGTCAACTAGGGTAGGCAATCCTACAACTGACGGTTCAGCTGTTAATAAAAAGTGGGCAATAGATGAGTTCATGAGTAGTAGAGGTGGACTGGTAAAGGGTGATTTGGATATGGGAGATTCAAGTGGTATTCTTGATCTAAAGGATCCGGTAAATGATAAGGATGCAGTTAACAAGCAATGGGTAGAAAAGAATTTCCTAAAACCTTCCTCAGGTCTTGTACAAGCAGTGGCTGATGTTAGATATGTAAGGAAAAATCACCATATCTATTCAGAATGGATCTGGGGTTATCGTGGTGTATCAGTTGCAGCAACAAGGTACTATGCTTACTGTCAAGATCAAATTCCACCTTCATGGAGAACAGATACTATTAATAATATGACAGACCTCAACCTTGAGTCAATTACTATTAAATCGGATTTCCCAACTTTATCAACTGTTCTAAATATACCCTTAGGACTCATCCTGTGGGCTACTGTATGGGAAAGGCAGTCTAATGGAAAATTTACACAAGTCAAGAAGGAAATCGTTCTCAGAACAATAGACTTAAGAAGACTATCACACACCTGGTTCAATGGAACTTACACAAGTAACGGTGGAAGTACAGCTTGCTACGTCTTCAAGGGTAATAGTATGTTCTATTTAGGAAACCAGGTTGAGTTGGTAGATAACACTCTAGCTTGGTGTATTATAGTTAAACCAGAACACTCAATGCCAACTGGTTCGAGTATGGACTTGTCTTTTTGCTGGTCATTGCGGTATTCAGGGTCAGGTGGATAACATGTGTTGTATCATAAAGTATCATATCAAAGTGGCGCTCATGCTTCTCCTGTTTGGGTAATATCTGTGGCTGTCGTAGGAGGTCTAACAAAAATGGGAAGGTTGGTGATATAAATTTCTCTGTATCCAATGATATTAAGGTTGAGGTGACCACACAGGGTAAAAAGGATGACGCCAACAGTGTATTCGGACTACAAGGGCCCCCTGCCTTGTGTACCCTCAAGGAGGAAATAAAAGATGTCGAAGAGGCTTTGGAATAGGAAGGTTGGACGATATTGGAAAAGTGTAGGATAAACGTACTAGAGTCTCAGCTGGACTGGTAAGGTGATCCCGAAGCTTTGAGGTAAGTTAAATGAAAAACAAGAATAGCAGTTTCACATTTCAATTAAATAGACCAACCATTAATTTTAATATAATAAAAATAAATGATTTTTTACTAAAGATAAAAAACTAGTGGTCTAGAAAAAAAAGTTGGTGGTCTAGAAAAAAAACTAGTGGTCTGGACACGCCAGTTCCTATACTACTAATGTGCAACGATTCAATCATCAATATAAAATACGATGATGAATACAAAGTTCGAAATGACTTTTCAATACTCTATAAGAACAAGGTGCACGATTATACTGAGTATCGAGTTCTGAATGATGCCATAAAGATTTGTAACTCCACTGATAAATACGTACGGAATATTTGGGAACTACGTAATGACTGGGTAAAGGCGACAATGCATTTGAAAAGTTGCAATAAACCCATTCGTAGCTGTTGGTTGTACCGAGAGTATTACACTGTAAATAAGCAGTGCACGGTCTATTTCGTAGCTACGAGTCAATATTTCACAAGAAATGGCTATGGGGTGGAAGACGGTAAACCTTATATATGCCAAGAAAAGTTAAGACCCGCATCAACCGAGTATACCCAGGCAGATCTATTAAAGTGCGACGATTCAATCATCAATATAAAATACGATGATGAATACAAAGTTCGGACTGACTTTTCAATACTCTATAAAAACAAGGTGTACAACTATACTGAGTATCGAGTTCTGAATGATAGCATAAAGATTTGTAACTCCACTGATAAATACGTACGGAATATTTGGGAACTACGTAATGACTGGGGAAAGGCGACAATGCATAAAAAAACTTGCAATAAACCCATCAGAACCAGTTGGTTGTACCGAAAGTATTACACTGTGAATAAGCAGTTCACTGTCTATTCCGGAGGTGATGGTGGTTATTTGACAAGAAATGACTATTGGGTGGAAGACGGAAAACTTACAATATGCGAAGAAAACTACAGACCCACATCATCAGAGTATACCAAGGAATATCTATTAATGTGCAACGATTCAATCATCAATATAAAATACGATGATGAATACAAAGTTCTGACTGACTTTTCAATACCCTATAAGAACAAGGTGTACAACTATACTGAGTATCGAGTTCTGAATGATAGCATAAGGATTTGTAACTCTACTGATAACTACGTAGGGAATATTTGGAAAGTACGCAATAAATGGGCAAAGAAGACAATACATCTAAAAACTTGCAATGAACCCATTAGAACCTTTTGGCCTTACCAAGAGTATTACACTGTGAATAAGCAGTTCACTGTCTATCTCGCAGCTACGAGTCAATATCTCACAAGAAATGAATATGGGGTAGAAGACGCTCAACTTTATATATGCGATGAAAAGTTGAGAACCATGTCAACAGAGTATACCCAGGAAGATATATTAATGTGCAACGATTCAATCATCAGTATAAAATACGATGATGAATACAAAGTTCGGACTGACTTTTCAATACTCTATAAGAACAAGGTGTACAATTATACTGAGTATCGAGTTCTGAATGATAGCATAAAGATTTGTAACTCCACTGGAAACTACGTAAGGAATATTTGGAAACTGCGTAATTACTGGGTAAAGGCGAGAATGCACGAAAAAAGTTGCAATAAAACCATCATATACATTGAGTTCGACCGATGGGAGTACACTGTGCTTAAGGATTTTAGAGTTCGCATTTTTGCAACAAAGCAGCTGATAACAAAGTACGATTATGCTGTGTGTGAAGGTAAACTTGAAACATGTGTGACCGAATGCGGCAAATTTACGTTTACTATAAAGTATGAAAATGAATACAGAGTATGGAACAACTTCTCAATGATGTACCAAGGTCGAATGTATTCTTATGATGAGTACAGAATAACGGATGATGGTCTACAAGTTTGTAATTCTTCTGACCGTCTCATTAAAGAAAAATGGCGGAATTTCATTGTTTCGGAAAAGATAACGATAGCTTTCAAACATTGTAATGTATCTGTGGATGGTTTTTACTCCGAAAATTACACATTAGATACAAACTTTACCATTTTCTTCAAACCTACCAATCACAATTTTACAAGGCAAAATTACGGAGTGATTTTGGGGTATTTTGCAATTTGTTCAAGAAAGCTCATATTGTCCTGCAATGATGATTTGATCAAAGTAAAGTACGGTGACTATATCGCTCCAGCAGTGTTGTCGTCAATTGATCCTTTTCAATTTGGTGGCATCCCTCGATCATCTGCTACAAAAGCCTTAATTTCTATGGTTCATGCGTGGACTCAAGCCACAGATGGAACTGGAAACGCTGTAAGAGTGGTTCTTTTTGACTATAAGAAAGCCTTCGACTTGATTGATCATAAGATCTTAGCCACGAAAATCATCCAATTGCCAATGCCAAATTTCATTAAGCGGTGGGTAATTGACTTTCTGATGAACAGGCAACAACGGGTGAAACTTGCAAGAGACTGTATGTCTGAATGGATTGACATTCCTTCCGGTGTCCCTCAAGGAACCAAATTGGGACCTTGGTTATTCATCCTAATGATAAATGACCTACGCCCACCACATCATGAGCGATGGAAATACATCGATGATGCTACGGTATCTGAAATCATTTACATCAACACACCCAGTAAAATTCAAGATACAGTCGATTGTGTTCAAAATTGGTCTGTAGAAAACAAGATGCAATTAAATGCCTCCAAGTGCAAGGAACTTGTTATCAGTTTTACAAAACCTGAGAAAGAATTTCCGCGCCTTAAGATCATCTCAGGCCAAATCGAGACAGTGAAGCACGCAAGAATCCTAGGTTTGACAATTTCTAAAGATCTAAAATGGAACCAACACATAACTAACATAGTTAAGAAGGCGAACAAACGGATTTATTTTATTATTCAGTTGAAACGTGCTCATGTACCTGAAGCTGACATAATAAATTTTTACACTACCTGCGTCAGACCAGTCATGGAATTCAGCTGTCCAGTTTTCCACTTCGCCCTTCCTTCCTACTTATCTAATGCCCTGGAACGGGTTCAAAAGCGTGTTTTATCAATCATCTATCCACTGACAGGTTATGCGGATTGTTTACAAAAATCGGGCATCAAACCATTAAGTGACAGGCGTGTGGATGCATGCGAGAAACTGTTTAATGAAATCACCACAACACCAGTAGCTAATATGCATAATCATGTACCATCTAGATACTTTCCAAATTACGACCTTAGACACTCAAGGTCTTTTGTTGTTCCTCAGACCAAAACGAACAGATTTAGAAACAGTTTTTTCCCTTCATCTGCAAGGCATATCAATAATATTAACTGACAATCGATTCTGATATTCAGTTTTAGACTGGCTAACATTTTTTTAGAAATTTACTAGTTTCATAGCTAATTTGTAATGTAACTTTAAACTTCTGTAATATAGAATTATAAATTGTAATGTAATTTTAAACTTCTGTAAATATAGAATAACTAATTTAATCATTTCTCTTGTAAAATTTAGCACGCAATTCAGCCTCTTGGCTGCTATGTGTTAATCTTATTAAACAAACAATCTATCTATCTATCTATCTGAACAATAGAACGTTGATAAAAAATTTTCGCTGGTTTACAACAAGAAGATATACGATTATCGCGAATATCGATTAAGCCACGACAGTCTTGAAATGTGTGGTTCCAATGATTCAAGAGTTCAGGCGATTTGGAGAACGCGAAATTCGTGGCAAAAGTCATTACCCGCATCCTGTTATCGTTCTTATAAATTAAATGCAAGATACTACGCTGCGACAAAGCAGTTTGCTGTATATTCGGCAGATAACGGTCAATATTTCAAAAGAAATGACTATGCGGTGATAGACGGTAAACCTTATGCATGCGGCAAAGAAAATTTAATACCAATTTATGTAATGGCAAACTTTAAGATTATTATAGCACCATTATGTGCTTTAGCGCTTTCTATTATTTCTTTGCTATTGTTGTTGATAGTTTACTGCATGCTTCCAGAACTGCGCACACTTCCTGGTTTGAATTTAATGAGTTTTAGCTTCGCCTTGCTGTTGTGGCAGACTTACCTTGTAGTATTTTTGTCACTGTATTCTCATGTAGGTAAACTGTTTGAGATACCGTGTGCTAGGCTGTTTGTAGCAAATACGTTTATGACGTATAGCATAATTATGAATGCTGCTGTTAATATCTATCACTTAAGAAAAACCTTTTGTGGCAATACTCTAGTGAAATCTGATGAACTGAAGAAGTGGAACAGATTTTTGAAGTGTAGTTTATTTAGCTGGGGAGTTACCATCATTATAACAATTGTTTACATTGTACTAGTAAAGGAAGATGTTCTTGAAGAACGACGTTCAATCGAGCTTAAGATTTTATCGACGCATTGCGAATGGAAAGACGATGGCAAATAATATAGGGATTTATCACCGTATTGCCTCCTTGAAGGGAGATGTCCTGGAATCAGAGTCGAGGTTTAATCAAAGCACTGACACTGTACTTGAAGATGACCAGGCAAAGTTTAGTCAAAGCACTGTACTTGGGAAGGGAGATATGACGGAAGATGATGCAAGGATTAATTTATCAACCTATTGTATCTTTGAAGAAAGATGTTCAGTCAAGCTTAAAGTTTTATGAACGCATTGTGTTCGCGAATGGAGATGGGAAGGAAGATGATGCAAGGATTTATCAACAGATCTCTGGAGATTGTATCAAAGGTCGAATTACTCCCGATTGGTCAGCTGCTGTTGATATATATGGCATTCAAGGTTGTCTTTTGTTGTACATTATTGGAATGTTCATCTTCACTGCTTATCGAATTCGCCAAAAACTCAAGGCAAGCAGGAACGTTGCACAGAAATCAAATATTGTTAAGCGTCATAAATTTGTGATATTGCTCAAGCTGGCAACCACTACAGCCTTAAGTTATTGGTTTCCTCTCTTCATATCTAGAATCGTAGATTTTGATTTCGACATAAAGATAGCGTTGTATACTGTAACATTGCTTACTGGTGCCTACATTGGTATTGCGTTTGTCTTCACACGAAGAAATTATCAGTTGCTCAAGAAAAAATATTTCCCAGCGAGCAATAACAGAGGAGGTTGGACAGCTAATTAGCGAGTTGTCACGTGAGCTCTGGACCAATGAGATCGCTCTATTTTCCATCGTGTTATCTGCAGAATTTGGACAGAAAAATTTGCATTCGACGGAAAATAAATCGGAAAAAAATATTAATATTAAAATTTTCTTGCAAAATCTCAAGTGTTGTAGTACTACTACTAAAGATCTGGCGATGTCTGCAAAAATCTCTGAGGTAAACTTTATTTTCAATGTTATATTGATGTTTGAAGTTAGTCGACTCCCCGCAACGTGTTGACTCAAGTCTAAATATGTTTACGATGTTTAAAATGAAATATCTAGAATTCCCATGGTTCGATTTTCTTCATTTTTGGTAGTCGTCAAGAAAAATATATAAGCTTTAAATCTGCTGGAATGATCCCGGTGATCCCCCGGCAGTTTTCGAGATATTGACCGTTGAAATGACTACTATCAACTCGACGTTCGCTAAAATGGCGTCTAATACCGTGGAAAGAATTTACGCCATCAAAGATGATATTTTCAATGAATTTTTGTTAAAGTGCTAAAATATTATTTAGAAGACTTAGGAGTTGTTTTAATATTTTTGTAGAATTTATATCTCAGCGATTTTCAAAGTTTTGTTGTCTTTGGCCGACGCGACTGGATCGTGTACGTATTTCAAGACGAGCTGATCGCCTGATCCTGGGGTTTTTGCATAGATATCTGGGTTTTTGTGTCAAATCGAGCTACGGAATCCTCAGCATGGACAAATCAGTGTCATAACAGCCCATTTCAAACCATCAGAGAGCTCCACTTGTTTTAAAGCAATAAAACAAGTTTTTATTGTATTATCATATGTATCATATATAATTAATATAAACAAATTAGGGGAGTGGTCATTATTGATGGGGAGGGGTGTTGGTAAATGGGGAAAATAAGGATTAATAACTTCGTTGACCCCTCCTCTCCAGACTGAAGGCAAACTTTTTGTGCCTCCCCCCTCTTAAAATAGAAACTTTTCTGCCCCCCCCCAGTGTGGATTGAAAAATTAACAGCAATGAAACAGGCGTGCATTGCAGGTAAAGTTAGATATTAGGACAATCTGTTTAAATCTAGCTCATGATGTTTTACCCTGGTGAATATGATTCAACCATATATGATTAAAAAATATATATTATGTGTTACTACTGCAATGCAACATTTGTCCTACCATAACCCTAACCCATGGTCCGTCTTCATACAGTGAAATGATTTGAACACAGGGCCTTATTTAAGAACTTGTCTGGAGGGTGGGCATCTACAAAAAGGGACCATAGTCAGACCTCTCAAATCTCACGCATTCAGCGTGAGTCTCAAGCAATTCGCTTCACTCTCACGCTCTCACACCACGTTTAGTAAATCTCACGCATATAGCAGTTTCATAGTATTTTTTCAATAATATAATATTGTATTCTTAAATGCACATTATTAATCATTATTCGGATCGCAAATCGAATATATAATCGCGTGTTATTCATGTTCCTGCATATACGGCCCGACATTTTGCCCGCAATTTGGATACAAAATAGTACGCATATGTAAATACGGCGGACAAAAGGCAGAATCAGTCGGAGCAGAATTCTATATGCAAGTTATCAAAGGCAAATTAAAGCTCATTAATACTGTATGTCGCAGAAATACAGTTATTGTACTGTATAACTAAAGTGCCTTGTCTTAAAGGACGTTATGACTTATGAAGCAATGTATTTCATTAAAAAGCACCAATTCTCATAATGTACAAAATGCCATTTCAGACCCCCGGACTTTTACAAAGGTGTCATCCACATCCCCAATCTCACTCTTAACTTCTCTGCAAAGTTGAGAGGTCTGCCATACTATACTGAGTGTGGAGAGATGACAGATGGTTGTTGGTGACAAAAAGTTTGGTGTGGTATTGTATGTATTAGTAGGGGGGGGGGGGTCTGGGGAAATTTTTGTATTTTTTTCCCAGGACTGAAATGTGAGCATTTTCTGAAACAGATTTTTGGATATACAGCGTTACATTGTGCTTTGATAGACCGAATCTGATCAGTTAAGTGTACTTGCATGGTATGTTTGTGTAAATACCACAGCTGGGTCACACAGGGGGTAGGAAGCTTGTTAAACTTAGTGGGCACCACTCCCACAAGGCACTACCATGGTTGGCACAGAGCAGGGAAATTTTGAAAATTTTGAGTCTCTAGATCATTGGAAATGGCATTTTCAGAGTCTTCTTTTTTGCTATTTGTGATTATAGAAACCAGAACTCTAGACATGGTATTTAAGTTCAAAAACTTTTTTACCCCCCCCCCCTTTCTCTGTGTTAAAACTTTGTTTGGGTAAAACTTTGTTTGCCCCCCCCTCCCATTTACCACCCCCCCATAAATAATGACCACTCCCTAAGTAGCATGTTATTGTTGGGATCTCAGATCAATTTAATAAATATATAAATAGACATCTTCTTGTTTTATTGTTGCATCAATTTTAATTGGAAAAAATACTCACAAAGTAGATCAAGTGTATGGATAAATTATTCATTTACTAAAGTACATTTTTACAGTTATTTATGCGACCACGTACCCAGAGTCTTTCCTCTTGGGGAGAAAAGACCCTGGTAGATGCTGGTCACGTGATCTGCTAAAATCTAGCAGATTTCTAATTAACTATCTTGAATTCCTTTATGACAATCATATACAAAATGCAAATTATAAATTAACATATAAAAATCTTCCAAATATCAAATATTTATTGACCTCATCTTGGATTGCTAATTAAAAATCTGCTAGATTTTAGCAGATCATGTGACCAGCATCTATCAGGGTCTTTTCTCCCCTGGGTACGAGGTTGTTATTTATGTACTTAGTCTTAATTGCATGAGTGTACATGACAGATTGTTTTAATTAGATATACCCAGTTATATCATAATTTTATAACATATGGTTTGTTTAAAAATGCTGGAAAAAAACAAAAAAGTTAGCCAATTGAAATAAATGCACTAATAACTTGCTAAACATAGCTAATTGCTATTTATTATATAAAAACATCTGTCAACATACACTCATGCTTTTTCCTACCACCAATGAGTCTCCACTCACCAGGTTTCATTATAAAAATTTTTGGATTAAATCATGGGTGGATTTACTGGGGGGGAGTTAGGAGGGGTTAACCCCACCAAAATTTCGCTTCAAAAGTCTTTAACCCTAATGCCAAACCCCTGTAAAAAGCTCACTCAGTGGTGCTGCTTGCCCCCCTGAAAGGTTTCCACCCCTCCTTTAAAAAAAATTAAAAAATCCACCCTTTTTAATTAAAAAAGTCAACACTATACTTGATACACTGAACATAGACAATAGACATCCACGACATCTGCAGCAATTAGTGGGTGCAAATACTTGCATAGTTGAAAAGCAATATAACCAACATGTTGTCATCCAGTTCCATAGTCTAGCCAATAGGCAATTCCAGCTTTTAATTTATGTGTGCAGGGGGCAACAGGAAGTAAGGTATCATATAGCTGATTATGCTGAAAAATTTTAATAAAATAAACTAAAAGCTGGAATTGCCTATTGCACTTGGGTTCCTTGGATTCAATGGTGCTGGCCATATTCTTACATTCACTGTTTTATCTTGTTCACGAAGAGTGGGATATTATGTCTTAATTGAATTTTCCAAATGATGTTGGTAGTTTTTTTCACGAGCATCACCGATGCACTTGAATGCTACAGCGTGGGCGATTTCCTCCTCATCACTTTCATCTTCTCACTTAAACGTCATCACTTTCTGCCCTATCACCTTGATCACCTCTTTCATTATCATATCCATCCTGAACAGGCTCAAGACCAACCAACCAACCAACCAACCAACCACTCAAGTAAATCTCTTTCTACAAAATCATAACAAGAAAATTATTATTTGATACATTATCATCGCTAAAATTAGCAAACATGTAATCTCTAAAATTATATTCTCACAACCATCCACAACTAGATACAAACAGGCATCATACTCAGCAAAATGTATAAAACAATACATACAAATAACTGAATAACAATATACCTTCAGACTCATCTGAGAACCAATGTATAAACTATACACAGTGTACATATATGTAAAAATCTATCCATACAAACAGGTATCATACTTCAGCAAAAAGTTATTAAACAATTCGTTTAACTCAAAACATGTACATATGCGACACAGTACATATACACACACAAAGGGTCAAATTAGAGACATTATAAACACAAGTATGACGCCATAATTTTGTACAGTGTATTTATAAAATTACAGTACAAGAATAAAAACAACAAAGCGGAAATTTGACTATAAAATAACACGATAACTGTAATGCATTGTAGTATACCAACCTTATTAAAATACTGCGCTTGTTTTCACGTTGATGATACACGGAGATTTAACGCCATCCAACTTAGAAAGAAGAGCCTCGCTATTGGGAACATAAAATTAAACACAATTCCTTTTCTCAGGCGGATTATTTATAAAGCTAAAATGACAGCACGTCCCATGCAATTTAAATTAAAAAAGGTAAACTTGATATAGTAAAACACAAGTCATAATGATGATCGCAACAATACAGCAATAACATGCTGTTTCTTTTCACAAAGTATCGCAGCCTGACACTCTTGTCGTTCGAAAGCTTCCATATTGGTTTAGTCAGAGAGATGTTCACTCCTCGACAGTCAACAGTCAATGAAGCCACGCGCGGAATTAGGCGCTCAATACCCATGATGCTTTGCGGCCTGCTGTCCAACCTCCTCTGGAGCAATAAGATGCCTGCAGATGACGAAATTCCGCTGAATAGACTATAGTGAAAGTAAGTCGACTTTATAAGGGTAAATAAGCAATTAAGGAAGGAACTGCTCCACCCATCTTGCTTTAGGCCAGCGAACGGCAAATTTCTCCAGCTCTAAGAAGACATTTGACAGCCATTCGCCAGAGGATGTGTGTAATTCGCCGGTACTTGCAGTCAAGACAAGCTGAAATTTTTAGCCCGGTCTTGCACTCAGACAATATACCAAATTAATAGACAAAGCTTGCAAGCCTTTGCCCACCACTCAACTCACAGCGCCCTTAAAGCTTCGACCTTCCATTGTTTGCATACTCGCTTCGCTCATCGGTTATCAGGGCCCACAGTAATTGGTTTACACTGTTGTGGTGTCCCTGCCATTCTTGTTCATGTTTATTGTCTAGATGTCTATTTGTTGTTCTGGTGTGTTTTTGGCAAAGTTTAATAAATAAATAAATAAATAGCCGGAGCCTCAGTAGAGCGAAACAGTATTGGTCATACCCAAATTATTATTAGCCAGGACTTCAAACGGATACCTCAAGGGCTGCAAGCAAGCAAGCTTGTTACGTAGTAATATATAAAGGAAATATGTGTGTACATAAAGTAAGTATAAGTAAACAGTAATCAATGAACAGTGATTAATTTGAAATCATCTGTAATCATGTACACCACTTGTAAAAGAATGCAACGTATTCTACCCAAAGTGAAAACGCTTAAAATATATAATGCTATTAATTTAAAAAGTATGTATACATTGTATTTTAGATGTTTCATGTTTGTAGTAAAGTAAATAAAAAATGCAAAATTTCCATCTTTCTCATTTTGTTTCCAAGGAGGGGAGCCCCGTCAGTTTCCACCATGCCGAAAATCTCAGGAAATTTCCACAACACAGGAGGTTGATAAAATGTGCTTTAAGTATTTAAATCTACTCACACAAGTTTAATTTAACAGGAGTTCTCTATAATCTATATAATAATCTGAGTTGAATCTGCCACTTCATGGTTCGAGAGCCATGATCTGCTAGAGGACAGACTGACGGATGACGTCATTTCAATGAAGTGATATTTCTAAGGCTTACCCAAGCACATGCGACACCTCTTTCAGAGGCACCAGTGAACCAGTGAAGTGGTTTGTTTTGTATAGATAATGTCCGACTTAGCAATCTCAGTCCATCGCGCTTCAAAGTCCCGAAACAGAGTCTTGCAGTTTAATGCGCTAACGATGTGTGCCGATGTGCACATCGCTTTTTCAGAAATAGTAAATTTTTTGCATATCATTTTTCCAAACATTGTGCAAACTTTGTTGTTAAACTCGACAATTTAGAGCCACATTTTTTATTTTGTTCCTCATTTTATTTATATTGTAACAAAAGAATATCTAGAAAGTAGAGTACCGTATACTACAAAAAGTATAGGCACAAAATTTGCCACGAAATGACCGCCATTGTGCGAGTGTTTCCGCTTTCCCGTTCTAATTCAAGCTCTGGTACCATATAAAACAAATAGATATTATTTTACCTTATTCTGAACATTTATGGATATTCAGAGGACTTCATAACGTGGTATAAGAACATCCATGACTCGCCCCAACAGCTCGTAGAGACATTTTTCAACTTATGACATCATACTGCGTATCTATAACTAAACAAACCAATACACCCATTCGATAATTACGTCACAACTACACTGTTTTCAACTTAGGACCACCTTAAATGAAAAAGATTTCAAGCTTTTTTCTTATGGGCTATGCACAAAAAACATCCTTCTTCAACACGTGCGCGAAAAAAATTTGGGGATTTTGACCAATAAATATGGAAATAGCCTCGTTTTCGTGTTAAAGCTTATTTCCACATTTATTGGTCAAAATAAAGAATTCTTTTTCATGCATGTGTTGATGAAGGATGTTCTGCTTCTCTGTGTATAGCCCATGAGAAAAAACTTGAAATCCTTTCGATTTAAGGTGATCCTAAGTTGAAAACAGTGTTAGTCGTGACGTAATTACCGGAAAGGTGTATTGAAGGTATAGCATTGCGTTTCGATCACCCCATAGATGAACTACCTGATCCGGAATTTTCAATTTCACAGTGGGGACAGGGGGATCTGGTCAAAAAATCTGGTAAATGTGAATTAGATCCTCGTCAACATCTGGTATCCTGTGATAGAAAGCCACATAATAATGGCAATAATAAATGTTTCTGAGTCAGAATACCTTCCCACTAGTCTACTTTTATTGCTTATTCTTGGCCATAAAGCCATTCATCTCAATCAATACTTATTTGGAATGTCAATTAAATATACATCTATTAAATTTAAATACAGTGAATTATAGGAGATTTAGTGCATTTGCAAAGTTTGATAAATATTACTATAACAAACGCTCAGTTGTCCCGTGTTTCCCCCCCCATTATCCCATTATACGTGAACAATCGTCCATGTGTTTTCTTTGAGTGACAGTACAAGCACAGAAAAAAATTAAATTTCCATTAATGGATTTTTGAATGTAAAAACTGAACTCCTGCCATTGTTGGTTATTATAGATTTTCCATCTATATGGTAAATAGGTAAAAACCATGATATTTAATATTTACCAGGAAAATACCATTAATGGTAAATATTAAACATCATGGTTTTACTAATTTACCAAATGGGAAATAAAATCTTTAATAACCAATAATGGTTTTTACATTGATAGTATACATGGTAAATCTTGAGAAACCATTCAAAAACCATTAATGGAAATTTAAAATCTTTTCCTGCGTAATGGACATTTGTTTGTTTCATAATTTCCCATCCCTCGAACCAACGACGCAATGAACCTAATCTGTTAACGATCATATATAACCGATAAACGGTGTGAATAAGAAGGTAATCAAAATTTGACAGTTTATCGTGTGTTAATTATTACGTTTACTCATTTTCTTTTTTCATACCAATAAAGACCAGGCTTTTTGCTATCGAATGCTACCTTTCGTGTATCATTGCGATCAAAAATAGCCACATACAATCCGATTTAAAAATGCCGCTCAAAATCGCATTTGGAAATTGCATCTAAACCGGGCTATAGTATTGTCTGAGCAGTGAAATTATTCTCATTTGGGATCCAAATTGAAGACCCTTGAGTAAATATGGCGCAACGCATGTATACAAGTATCATATTGTGAAACAAATTTTACCCGCAATTTTACATCAAACAACACTGGAAGCTTGCAACCTCGCAAGCCAGGGTCTTTTACCTGCGCTCGGGCTGGGAAGCTTGCAGACTGGACTCGCAATGACATACGTTTCCCAAATGGGCAACAAACATTTGGGCAAATGTTCGAAAATTGGAAGAACATCTAAATCCCAAAGGTGGAAAAATGCGAATTCAAACTATCAGATCGCATTTGGTGATTTTTATCGTAATCAAACCATGAAGGTGTTATTTGACAGTTAGAAACCGGATCTTTATAAAAGCAAAAAGAAAACACATTGACGTATTAATTAACACATGATAACATGTCGCAGTTCGATCATTAGATCTGTGCGTGATGATCACATTTTAAATTTCCGGGTGTTCGGCTACAATACCAAAATGGTGTAATCGCTGCGGCTCTGCAGACATCGACCTACACACGTAAAAACGCACAAGTTTTAACAAACCTGCAGCAGACTTGTAGCAATCCTGTTCCAACAACTTGTCAACAGGATGTGTTCGCACTGCTTGTCCCCAGCTTGTTGACAAGTTGTTAACGGCTTGTTGATAACTTGCTACAAGGTTGTTGAGGTCAACAGACTTTTGTTACAAGTTGTTCCAACAGCTTGTTATCGTCCTGCAGTTCAACAATTTGTCAACAAGTTGTGACTGACAATCTTGTACCAACTTGATAAAATAACAACATTGTTACAACTTGTTGGCAAGCATGCCACGAACATGTTGCGAACACATCCTGTTGACAAGTTGTGAGATTTTTACGTGCGTAGTGTAAATGTTGGCATCATTTTTGTGTTAGGGAAACACCAAATATTAATAAGCTTTCGTTGGTAGGGATTCAACTACCAAATACACTGAGCAATCGTATTACTTACATCCAATAAGTATAATTGTTTTTATATAACACCTCATTAAATTCTGGTAATTTAATCGGCTGATTATGATCACATGATATGAAATAAAAAATTACCATTTTGAGCGTGCAATGGAATGCGTTCGATCCATCCGTCCGTCAAAATCTTAATTGTATCCTAATCGTAGCTCACGTAAACCAAATCTTCGTAACGAGGCCGATGGAATTGAGAGATCGATTGATTTACTTTGGTGTCATAAAAACAAATAATGTTTTCAATCGTGAAATAGTAAAAATATTTTCACTCGGCCATCGCCTGGTGGAATGGAAAATTTCATCTTTCACCTCATGAAAGGATTTTGACCATTGCACGCATAAACATATTTGTATACAATATACTTATTGGGTAAAGCTTTGGTATTTCATAAAACAAAAATGGTGTTAACATTTAACACTAAATCAGTGTCTACAGAGCTAGTTACGGTGCAGTCTGCAATTGCGGATCCAGATTCCAGTCTCCAGTCCAAAAATCATGAGTCCAGTATTATGAGTCCTGTTATTTTTTCCTCAACCAGGCAAGATACATACTAATATCTGGACTGTGAGACTTGGACTCCGGACTGGAGACTGGAGTCCGGATCCGTTTTTTGGCCTTCTACATATTATTTGTACACTCCAGTGAGTTTTAAACTGCAATGAGCGACAATATTAACAACATCCTTGCCCCTCTCTTTTATCGCTCACGTATTTCTTCATATCGAACTTTGATGAATCATTCGCTTGTTTATGTTGAAACGTCAGTTCTCTAAAATCAATTAGAAATTACAGATGGCAAACAACACACGTAAAAATCTCACGTGTCAATAAGATGTGTTCGCAACAGGCTTGTAGCAAGCTTGTCAATAAGTTGTAGCAATGTTGTTATTTTATCAAGTTGCAACAAGGTTGTCACTCACAACTTGTTGACAAATTGTTGAATTGCAGGACGATAACAAGTTGTTGGAACAACTTGTAACAAGTCTGCTGAGCACAACAACCTTGTAGCAACCTTGTCAACAAGCCGTTGACAACTTGCCAACCAAGCTGGGAGCGAGCAGTGCGAACACATCCTGTTGACAAGTTGTTGGAACAGCATTGCTACAAGTCTGCTGCAGGTTTGTTATAACGTGTGCGTTTTTGCGTGTGCAGAGGACACACGGAGATTTTCAATTTAACCGAAACTTGCTCAATAGACCTTTCCCCTTTTGAGTGAAATTTTGATCTAGACAAGTCTGGACAAAAATTTCATCACAGCTTGAAAGAGCATCACAAAATTAGTAATATTCCGAAGTTTCGTTGCGAAATGTTGTAAAATGCGGATAATATAGCCTTGCGAATTTTGCCATTTTTCAGTCATTTTGCATTACAAACGGGAAATTGATAATCAGATGATCGAACTGATTATCAATTTCCCATTTGTAATACAAAATGACTAAAAAACGGTCTTCAAGAAACAAAACGGTCTTCTAAAAAACTTCGCAAGGCTATATTATCCGCATTTTACAACATTTCGCAACGAAACTTCGGAATATTATTAATTTTGTGATGCTCTTTCAAGCTGTGATGAAATTTTTGTCCAGGCTAGTCTAGATCAAAATTTGACTCAAAAGGGGAAAGGTCTATTCGTGATTCCCCATATTACGTTTTCGTAGCGCTTTGCATTGTGGTTATAGTGGTATCACTGATAAAGATAGCGGCCTCGAATGAAAATATTGAATGTTTTCGCGAATATTTTGCTGTGGCTATCGCGCAACTGACCCTAGCTTTTTTTAAAGTTCTTGCACGAGTCAGGACAAAAAATAAGCCATCTTGAATATCAGTGATACCACTATAACCACAATGCAAAGTGCTACGAAAACGTAATAAGGGGAATCACGAATTCGTCCTTAAAAAATGTCCATTAGTATTACCACACAGTATTAATACTTATTTGTTTAAGTTATCCTACACACAAACACAGACAGAAAGAGACAAACAGACATACATGGGCAGAAAAGATTATCGATAGATACTTAACAAATATTTTTTTACATCAAATGGATTGAAAATTAGTTTACCTAGCAATAGCCATAAAAGCCAAGTCAACATTCATTCCAGTTTTAGCACTTGTTTCCATGAACGCAACATTGTTTTCCTAGAGAAAAAGAGTGTCATTCAGCAGCAGAACTATCTTCATCTGCAAGGAGGGGTGTAGGTTCTCCATGGCGTGGTGCACGAGGGAGCCTTAAGGCCCTGTTACACGGTGCAATTTTTCATGCAACTTGTCTCGCAATGTTTAAAAAAAGATTTTGATAAATGCATTGCAAGAGGTGTTACACGCTGCAATGATTTTCATGCAACTCGCAACGATAGGGGACAGAGGCATGCAAAGAGTTTAATTAAAGTAAAGCGTGTACTGGGGAGAGCCAATAGGAACTCTCCAAGCTATATTAAAATATTGCGAGACAAGTTGCACGAAGCCATGTTACACGCTGCAATGCTAAAAATAATTAGTGCAATCGTTGCCAAAAGTAGAACCGACTTCTACTCTGTGCAATGCTTCATGCAACTTGTGTCGCAAAGATTTTGACCATTGCAAGGCATGTTAAACGGTGCAATGACTCGTGCAACTTGTCTCGCAACGCCATTGCGAGACAAGTTGCATGAAAAATTGCACCGTGTAACAGGGCCTTTACTGCCCACACTCCTCTGCAGTCTGCACGTTACTAACCCAACAGTACACTCCCATGGTAGATCCGCCCCTGATGTCATTGTATTAGCAAAATTACACATTAACAAGGAATTATCACAAGATTCAAATTAATTTATTTGACTCACCTGTGCTAGCCGTTCTCCCTCCTCCTTTTTGACGACTCTTTCGTTCGACTTATCTGCCTGGATTTTATGTAAAATATAATAAACGAGAAAGCATTGAAATGCTGTTGAAGAAGTTTACGTTTTAGTTTCATTTTGAAATTTTGAATAGAGTTGCATCGAGTTGCAAAACTCACATTTGAAATTCCCACCTACAAAACCTTTTTGTAACTTAATACATACCTTATTTCCTAAAAGCATAACTACAACATTCTCTGGAGCATAATCCTTGATTTCAGAAAGCCATGCCTAGAATATTTTAAATACAGACTGTTTGAAATAAAGTCACCCAGTATTAAAATATTAACCAATTATAGCCATCATGTCTTCCTAACAAATGTCTATTGATCTGTGTTCGATATACTCTAAATGAGCTGTTCAAATAAGATATTAGATAGCTTAAGATCTACGACGTCGACGTCAGCTAGGACGTCTGGGCTAAGCAGAGGACTGGGACTAGGTCAAGTATCTACGACGTCAAATATTTAGGGCGGCAAGCGGAAGTAAATTGGCAATAGTTTTTGAAGTGTGCATGTGTCTCTCTCAATTTGCTCGTCTTCCACCAAACGTTGATAACCTCACAACAAGAGTTTTACCGTCGTGGATACAAGAGCATAACAAACTGTAATGGATTCACACGTCTCTTTTAAATTCATTTTCAAAAGGATGTACATATTTATAGTTTAAATGTCGACGTCGTGAATCTTAAGTGGAAGTTTATTTATTTAGGACGACGTCCTAGTCCCAGTCCTCTGCTTAGCCCTAACGTCCTAGCTGACGTCGTAGATCTTAAGCTATCTATTAGCCCTTCAAGTGTCAATGTGCCCTGATGGATCTTACATTATTATTTCACTCTGTCTAATACCACAGCTAATACCAAGCGATATTACTTGCCAAGAGGAGAGCGCTGGTGCTTAATGGTTTACTTTAACCAATAAAGGCTCAACAGTTAATCCACACCCTTGATGAGTACAATTACGGCACAGTCAATCAATTATGATAATCAGAAAATCAATTATGCATAATTCAGGATCAGTAAACTCAATGTTTTTAACAATAAAAATGTTTCAAAATGTTAAAAACATTATGTTTGCTGATCTTGAATTATGCTTAAAATTGATTTTCCTAGTAAGTTTTTTCAATTAAATGGGCTGAAATGTGTCCTTTAACAAAACATGATGCACAGACAAACATTTGCTTTATATGTACGTTCATATTTACTCACCCTTATATTATCAAACGATTGCTTGCTTGTTATATCATAGAGTAACAATAGGGCTAATGGAGAGATAAATAAAACAATAGACTTTACAATTTATTGCAGTGTTGCTCCAATGGCCTCACTTCAATGTTTGCCTATTTTAGCATGAGCAAGAGAACATCAAGGTTATATCTCCATGTTTTGTGCATCAATGTGTTTCACTTTGATCTTGAGCCCAATCATAAGCCTAGCTTAACCCTAATGTGTATGAAACATGTCAGGAATAGCCACATGAGGGAATAGCCACATGAAGAAACAGTCAAATGAAAACGAGGACATTGGGGCAATAAACAGTAGTCTGTTAATTTCAAACTGAATGGCTCTGATTGAAATATACCAACCAGTGTTTCATCAGATGGTGAATAAGGCTCAATCTTAATTTATTACCATGTGAATCTCTATAATACGCATGTGTGACACTTCGAAAGCGTTCCTGACCAGCAGTATCCCATATCTACATCACAAAGAAACTGAATCTTAAGATGTTGTTTTGTGGATCCAAATGACTTACATAAATTTTAAAATCTATACCTGCAACTTCACTTTAGTTTGATCGATTTCAACCACTTTATTCTGGAGAAAAAAGAAACATAATGACCACTTGAATGACTCACTGACCATTGCAACATAAATACCTGACCCACTGAATGACTGACTTACCACCAACCGACCAACTAACTGACCAAGTGGCTGACTAATGAACCAACTACCAACTGACTGACCAACCAACCAACCAAACAACAGACCAACCAACTGGCTGACCGAACAACTGACCGATTGAGTGACAAACCGGTCGCCAACTGACCGACTGACCAACTGACCAACCGACCAACTGACCAACCTATCGACCAACTGACCAACCTATCGACCAACCGACCAACCTATCGACTGACCAACCTACCGGCTGACCAACCTACCGACTGACCAACTGACCAACCTACCGACCAACCAACTGACCAACCTATCGACCAACCAACTGACCAACCTACTGACCGACCAACTGACCAACCTACCGACCGACCAACTGACAGGCCTTAAAATATCTTTTACAGGGCCGTCTGACAAAATGTCCGGTGACGTTGAGTTTGGGTCGGACATATGTCCGATGACCTTCAGTTCAGTTTTGACTCGGAAATAAGTCCGAATGACACAAATGAATAACAGTAAATGTTGTAAACATATTAAATAATTTGTTTCTTTCATGCTTATTTCCAAGTCAAAATTAACTTGCTTGCCAGAACATGCAGCAGTATTAAAAAAGACTTCGACAACTTAACCCGGTTTTCCACTTCACCATTTCGCTCACCGCACCGCGCTCGACTATGTTAAAACAACATTTCCAGTTCACCTTTTGTACAATAGTACTCTGATTTTCCATTTAACATACAAGCCTCTAGTCATGGACTAGGGTACATTTTGATTTACGTCGGACAAAGCTACAGTTCGGTCAGACACCAATACACTCAGGTCGGACAAACAATAAACCTCAGTTTCATTTTGGTCGGACAGAATGTCCGGTGGTTTCCTCTCTACGTCGGACAATTTCACGAATGGGTCGGACAATGTCTGTGACCAACCGATATTTTAGGGCCTGACTGACCAACCTACCGACTGACCGACTGACCAACCTACAACTAACCAACTGACCAACCGACCAACCTACCGACTGACCAACCGACCAACCTACCGACTGACCAACCTACCGACCGACCAACTGACCGACCAACCAACTGACCAACATACCGAACAACTGACCAACCAACCAAATGACCGCCGACCAACCAACCGACTGACCAACTGTCTGACTGACTAACCAACTAACAACTAATTTAGTACCACACCAATTTACCAAGAACTAACTTGTCATTCATGCAACCAAGTAAACCACACTGACTGACTGATGGACAAACCTACTAAACTCAACTGATCAACCAATGGATCAACTGACAAACTGGTCACTGCTTAACTGGTTTTCAATCTTTATCTGGCTATCATTAGTCGTACCCTGTAGTCAATTCCAACAGTGGAAATAAATGCTCCTGAAAGAAATGCACCATCTTTGAATCGAACCAACAAACAAGTCTTGCCGACCCCTGAATCACCAAGAAGCATCACCTAGAATAGTGCCAGAATATCAATTGAAATTAATGAAAAGTAGACTTTCTCCTAGGGCTGTGTTAATTTATATGGACTCTATGCGAAAGGCAGGAAATTGATACTTGAAATCATCCGAATATATCCACTTCTGCAATACTTCACTTTAATTAATGATGACTTCACAACACTAAAACAGCGATGACATCATCAAGTTTAATAAAAGTGATCATTCGTAACTCATGTCAGTCTTAATTAATTCTGCCTTTTACAAATACAATCATAAGCCCTATTCTTCTATTATTCTACGTTATTTTGTGAAATATTGCATACAGAGCAAAAATCGCTCAGCCCTATACATTTCTGTGATTTTATATCTGTTGACCAAACATATCACAGGCTCAAGTGGTATCGAAAATGACAAAATTATCAATACTTTTCCCAAGTGTCAAAAGTATCGATACTTCTTTTATCGATATTTGGTATCAGCCTGATTCCCTATCTCACCCTAAGAAATAAACTGTTTTCTAATAGACAGCACTTTTTCCACAAATGTACATACAGCTGTTTAATTAAATGGGCCACTAAAAATAGAATCAAAAGGTAATATACTCAAAACCTTTAATATTTTGACTTCCTGGAAGCTTTTTAAAGAAAATGTATAAACAATTTAGACCAAAAGTTTGTCCAAATTTATCAGACCATATAATATGTTAATAAGTAACGTATTAGCCTCTGGAAACCGTTTGTTAAACGTTTTATTTATGTCAACAAAGGTGACATTTCACGCTGCAAATGATACGTACATTGTCAGCCATTTTAAAGGCGTTTTAAATCAAAGAAATACGGAAGATTTTTGGAGATAAATGGAGTTTAAAATATGCATCTTCTTGAATAATAATATGCACAAAATACATTTAAACAAAAACAATTTGACCTGCCTATGTTAAAAATATATTATTTTGGGAGTATTCAGCATGGTTGCTTTTTATATTGTCTATTAGTTTGTGATACTGTAGCAGTTAATATACTTGTCTAAGCAATGTAAAAGATATAATCTACGATAAACGGTAGAAGCTTACTGTAAGGAAATGAAACAAAAAGGAGCTGGCATGAGGCTCTTAAAATTTCCCCAAAATCATGCAGCTAACTGCCGAGTATTATACAACAAAGGTCAAACATTGAACAATACCTTGCAAGCCAAATCAAATTGCTCAGTTGTTTGTCGCCGGATTGAACCATTGCTAGACTTAATAGACATCCTATAACAAATATTTAGGATAAAAATAATTTTATGTATCTTCTTTCATCTTGAGCGTGAAAAATCCTTCCTATTATTAATATATGGCTATATTTACATGGGAATATGGCATGGATGACGTGCCCGAATACTAATTAAGCTCATTAAAAATGGCAAAATGACCAAGGCATTGCATCAAGGGCTGTTTGTTATTTTTAAATATTTATTTCCTTATCATTAGCAAAAAACATGGTAAAAATGTTTTGCACCTTAGGAGAGCAGAACAATCTTATTTGCATTCAACTGAGTAGTTTGAGTTTATATGAAAAAGGTGAGCGAAAATTGTTGAATTTTGTAGGTAGTTTTTGTTTCAACCATTACAGCTGTATTTTAAAATCTTTATAGAGATTTTATCTTAACTAAAATGTAATATTATTCAACCTATTTTTACTTTAAAATAAGAATTAATGTCGAATACTTACTAAAAATTTTATTGTACAGTAATTTCAATTAGGAACTTTTAAAAGCGCGCAATTTGGCGGGAACTTGTGAAGGGCCTGGGGAAGACAACTAATATCATGGCGGATATAAATACTATCGATGAAAATGTCCCCGAAAGTTAGTGAATTTCGTCCATTTCTTTCGCACTTTTGAGTCGTATTTGATTTAAGGTTGTAATATCTGCATCTATGTTTTTTATGTACCCTTGATTTTTGTTTTGTGTTCAATTAGATTGCCCGGGTGTTCAGAGTGAAGGGGCTGGCAAAAGTAGTGCCTGTGCAGGCTGTCCTAATCAGACGCTTTGTGCTTCTGGGAAAGCCAGTGGGCCCGATCCAGGTACCGTACTATACTATGGTGTACCTTGATGTACCATGGACATAGTGTAATATACCACACCATACTGCACCATGATACCATACTGTACCTTACCATATATACTGTAACATACCACGCTGTACCTTACCTTACTATACCATACTTTACCAATTACCATAATATAATGTACCTACCGTATCAAGTCAAAATAACCCGCTGGTGATTGGTTTGGCTTAATTTGAAAACATTAAAAATATGCCAAAGCAGCCTCGATTTGCCTGTTCGTGCTGTAGTATTAAGCTACAGTTTGCATTTTGTCTTGTTACCGGCAGCTTTTGCAAAATTTGATGTTTTTTTCCCTATTTTCACCTATTAAAATCACGAAAATAAAGTCTCAAGAACTATTGCCATGACAAAATCGAGAAATTAAGTACATGAGAAATTAAGTACAAATAAGGCACTCAGTATTACTGACCAAACTGTACCATGCCACTACACAATATTATATTATACCATACCACAGTCTATTGTGTTATAGTCCATACAACACCATGTGCACCATTCATAGTGACTCCAACATATTGCTATGTAAGCCCACAAAGACTTTTTATCATTCCAGCTCTTCCAGAGATCAAGAAACGCCTTGCGTCTGTAAAACACAAAATACTAATTCTCTCTGGAAAGGGTGGTGTAGGAAAGTCGACCTTAACTGCCCACTTGGGTCATGGCCTGGCTGAAAATGAAGATATACAAGTATAATTTTTATACTGAATTATAGTTAAAGCACAAGACTTTCCTCTGATGATTGTCTTGCATAACACAGTAAAATATCTGGTGTTAGACAGAGTCAAATAATAAATAACTTTATTATTTGACTCTGTGTTTATTATTTGTTGCAGTTTAATGGGTTAACAAGACACATTGGTACATCATTTGGTTAACCCATTACTTAAAGTGCAAGACTCTCCCCTTGATGAGTAAAATCATCTGGCATTAGACAGAGTAAAATAATCTGGTGTTTGATGCAGTAAAATAATAAATTAAGTAGGGCACATTTGGTTGAATTACAGCTCAATGGGTTTTATTTCAATAAAATATTTTCAGAAAAAATAAAATTTAGATTACTGTTTCTAGGTTGGTGTTTTGGACATTGATATTTGTGGACCCTCGATTCCTAGGGTTATGGGTTTGGATGGTGAACAGGTTGGACTTTTATATAAAACCTTAATTTATATATCCCCTATTTACTTCTTTTTTACTGGCATACATTTAATTAAGCTGACAGGTAAAGTACTGATGTTAATTACTTTTTTCCCAATCAGGTTCATCAAAGTGGTTCAGGCTGGTCCCCTGTGGTATGTACACATTTGCATATTTCTCCAGTGTTTCATGACATATTAACCCATTAAAGAGCAATCTTGCCTTGACAAATAAAAACATCTGATGTTAGACAGAGTAAAATATTAAACTAAACATAATCTACAAAATATGTTGTTGACCCTGACTGTACATGCAAGGCTAATGACCTGGTCATATTTTGTAAGTTTGTAGAAGATAACCTTGCAGTAATGTCTGTTGGATTTCTTTTGGGCAGTCCAGATGATGCTGTTATTTGGAGAGGACCAAAGAAAAATGGTATATTAAGTCAAATACAGTAGATAAAGAATGGAATGCAATTGTATTAACAATTGTATTAACAATGTTGTAACCCCATGAAAAAGGGCATTCATTCAAAGCAATGATTTTTTTTTCTGGAACAATTCACACCACCCCATGTAAGACAATAACCTATATTATTATATGGCTTTTCAAAATTCTCTATTCTGATTGGTTGACAAGCGGTCCGTAAAAACCCATATCCGGACCGTGGTCCGTATTTTCCGTATCAGGACCGGTGTCCCGGATGTCATTTATCTGGCGGGAAATTTTTGCGTTGCAAACAGAAAAAAATTTTGCTTTTTAATTTTCCAATTGTGTGTCATTAAAATTTACAGATGAAAATTTCAAACAACCAAATTGTTTTTGATTGAGCATGCATGCCTACCGTATATTGTTACCCAGTGAAACTGATGATAGCCGATTTAATTTGCGTGAAAAGCATATGCTAGCTCACAGACTCAGTTCAGCCATATAATAAACCGATTATTGACCTCGCTTGTTCGGTCTGTACTGTGAAATATCAGACCTCTGTTTTTTGCATGGACCTCGCTCCTTTGTCGCTCGGTCCATACTAAAAAACCTCAGTCTGATATTTCACGCTGACCTGATATTTCAGTACAGATCTCACACTCGGTCAATAAGCCGTTATTATGGTTTACAGTTGTGTCTGTGAATGGTTTGAAATTACATGCCCTTCATAAATCTATCTTTGTGTTTAGGTTTAATAAAGCAGTTTCTACGAGATGTTGATTGGGGTGTTATAGACTATCTGCTGGTAGACACACCTCCTGGAACTTCGGATGAACATTTATCAATCGTACAATACTTGAAGACTGTCGGTATAACTGGAGCAGTCGTTATAACTACCCCGCAAGTATGTGTAGATGATGGTGATGATAATGGTGGAACCGATGCTGGTGGTAATGGTAACGATGGTGATGGTGACGTTCATGGTGGTAGTGTAGATGGTGGTAATGATTTTGGTGAAGATGTTGGTTGTTGTGATGGTGGTGAAGTTGTGATGTGTTGATGATGGTAAAGGTGACAACAATGGTGATGATTGAAAATACAAAGTGGACAATATACCTGATGATTCTTGCAGTTTTTCGCCTTTGCTTCATCTCTGCCTATATTGTAATCGGCTCTGCCTCTGAGCAGTTTTCTACACTTAATCTTTTAGGAAGTCTCATTGCTGGATGTTCGAAAAGAAATAAATTTTTGTAAAAAAGTTAAAGTTCCCATAATTGGAGTAGTAGAGAACATGAGTGGTTTTGTCTGTCCAAAATGCAAGGTACCAGTATTTGCTTTAGTAAATTTATGTGTGTTGGGCATTTATGCCTTTTGACTTTTGAGTGAATTCACATTTTCAAATAACTTAAATGGGAAATGCATTTGGTAATTTTTGAGTGATAAGCTCAAATTTTTCCCCCTCAGAATACATCGCAGATATTCCCTGCTACGACTGGTGGTGCTGAACAGTTGGCTACAGATATGGAGATACCATTCTTAGGAAAACTACCATTAGATCCCAGGATAGGTATGCCACACAATGTGATACCTTACCTTAATTAATTACCATACTTTATACAGTACGTACCATGTGGATACCATACCACATTTTTCATGTGATAGATGGTACCAACAAAAACAGTTAACAAAATAATGACAGAAACAAGATTGTGAATATGAAATCATCTCGTGTTTAGGAAAATGCTGTGATGAGGGCAAATCATTTTTAACACAAGTACCAGACTCGCCTGCTGCCAAATGCTATAAAGAAATTATACAAAGTAAGTAAAACAAACCAGCTAGAACACTATATGTTTATACACATGCAGATTTAGCACAAAAATACAAAAATCTGAACCTATGCATTCTTACAATGTAATTGAGGAACAGTTTCTAGTACCATAATTTTTTTTTATTTCATAGAAATTGTGGATTACTGTTCGTCGCACGAAAACGGAATTGCGTGATTTGTGAGAATATTCGGGGCGATACTTAAGTGAAAACTTGGAGAGAATGCGAAAACCTAAAGCCAAACGGTTCGGCTCTTTGCAGTTTCACTAAACGAGACCGTCATGAAATAATTGGATTTAAAACTACTAGTAGTAGAATGTAGAGTCACAATGACATATACTTCATGATAAACTTCATTTAAAAACCTAACAATAATCAATATATTTCAAAATATAATTTCATTAACACATTGAATAATTTGATTGATTATATTATATTGACATTATTGTCCGATGAGTCACCAGATTTATTTAAATAAATACTTTTCCCAAGGTAGTTTTAATACAAGCTCGTTTCAGCCCATTTTTTGCGCACTTTTGGTAAGTAGATTTTCCAAATTATGCGGTTGTAATATATGGTCGAAACAGCCATAAAAATATCAAGAACAATGCTTTGTCCAAGGTTCCTATATATCGACTTCGTAAAAGACATATGCAAAAAAAGACTGGCGTTTTAAAACTTTTAATGAACGTTATTAAATATTAGAATATTTTTATAAACTCCTAACGGGCTGACAAGCCTACGTATTGACCATAAAGGCCCTTCGCTGGAAACATCGAAGCTTTACTTGTATTTTTCGGGTTTAGTCCAATCCATTTCAACCCGTAGCTTTCTTGAATATTTTTATATCCTTCACAGGCATTTATTTTAACGTAAACTTGCTCATTGTCCGCCTTCTTGATTCATATCTTTGAAAAACGTTTTAGGTTACACACGTAAAAATCCCACATCTTGTAGCAAGTCTGCCAACAAGCCGTCAACAAGTTGTGTTCGCACTGCTTGTCCTAAATTGCAGGACGATAATAAGTTGATGGAACAATTTGTAACAAGTCTGTTGAGCTCAGTAACCTTGTAGCAAATTATCAACAAGCCGTTGACAACTTGTCAACAAGCAGTGCGAACACATCTTGTTGACAAGTTGTTGGAACAGCATTGCTACCTGTCTGCTGCAGGTTTGTTACAACTTGTGCGTTTTTACGCGTGTAGCTGGCAAAACAAGAACGTAAATTACACACAAAAAGTACATTTATTGGATATATAGAGCGAATAATATACAAGTATATTATAGTCATCAGTAACACTATTTATACATTAGCGTGTTTACATATATGAAATAAAATGATTGTGGTTATATTTTTACGGTATTACTACAGTATACAGAAACTAGTTGTAATAGAACCCAAACACAAATACATTATACATGAATCTACACAACGTTACATCAAAAGCAATCAATGCAATTAAAACTTACATTATACGTCACACACGTTGTATATATATAAAATATAGTGTAAAAGCAAAACAAGGGCAAACTTGCTCAGAGTTCATGTTCTTTATTTGGTATGGAACAGCAGGTATTATACACGACTAACTAGTTCATTTATGTTTTACTCACACAAAACGTTAGTTTTTCGATTTGCTGTTTGAGTTATGTTTTGGTCTTAGTGCATGGCTGAAACTATTTTTTCGTACAAATGTCGAAACTTGTATATCTCTGCTGTAAGTTCTCAGAAACAAAATGTTGCACTATATAGAATATGTTTTGTTCTTTCAGACTTTCACATATAAAATTGCCCTAATGAAACAAGTTTACCCTTAACTATTTAAATCTGAAATACACAACCTAATCTGAATTAACCTGTTACTATATCATTCGTTGCGGCAACAGTGTTTTTGCATTTTGTGTTTCGAGATGTTAACGACAACATCCAAAGACGAATACTTAAAATGAATACTTAAAATATTAATAGACGTTTTGGCAAACATAAAGTACTGCATGTTCATTTTGGGCGAAGTGTGCTAGTGTAAACCTTTTTTTCATATACCCAATTTTAATTCATTCAATCGCTTGACTTCTGCTTGCCAAAACATTCTAGAGTGGGTTATATATTCAGGTGTAATACAGTACATAACAATTCCGTATGCTATATCTGTTACTAATAGAAGCCTAAGATTTGACAGCAAGCACCTGAGTGAACAAAATTCTGCTTTCTGAATGGGGGAAATTCTGTTGTATTGCACAACATGACGTCACGAAATTACGTCATGATATGACGTCACGAAATTACGTCATGATATGATGTCACGAAATTACTTCATGATATGACGTCACTCTGGGCAAAATAGAAATATAGGATTGAGATCGTGCAATAAATGTCTGTCCTCACATTCAGGAAAACGCCTAGAGTGTCGGTTAGTTTGCCATGTAACCATGTTGTCAGACCTGAAGCTCCTATTTGTGTGACGTAGGATTTTTTACGCACGCCACAGTCAAGTGCTATGGCTTCAAAAAATGTTACTGCATGACCCGGGTGTTAAGTGGTCATCCCAATACGACAATCACGCAAGAGCACGGCAATATGACAACATTCTCTGGCAAAAAGCGCAGTTTCCATTTGGTACAGCGGCCATCATAGCCAAGTCATTGTCACCGATATGAAACAGCCTGGATCTATGTTGTTTTTTATCCTCGTTTATCCAATGTCGTTACTGCTTGCAGATATATATCGACACTCTTGAATTCATTTAGTCGTGTTTTCTCAATTCCCACCAAAACCGAATTACACCCCTCCCCTCCCCCCAAAGTTTATCATATTTCTGCCGTGCCCAACTTGCGTGAGGTCCTTTCTCAAAAAAATAGAAGAAAAAAATAAACAAAAATACACCCCGAGAGCTCGCCTAACCCATTTATTCAAGGTAGAATGCCAGAAAATAGGCAGACAACCTTAATGCAGGCAAGCTCTCTCGTTCAGTCGCCAGACTACAATAAATATCTCACGCGGATTACGCAAAATCCCAATGGACCAAAACGCCAAATATTTCTGTCGTTCATCTTGGACACGAGTGCGTTGACGACGTCTAAATCACTTTAAAACCTTCAAAAATCTTTTCCAAAACTAAGACTATAGCGTTCTTCAGATAGAATCTTGTTATTCATCGAACATCTATGCCTTCTCTAGTTTATATCCGAGATTCCAGTTCTCTATATCGTGCAGCTGTCGGGAGCTGCGTGGTATCACGTACAGTTACCATAGTAACGAGAGCGATGACGTAGGATTTTAGTTAGATACTTTCAGGCTACCCCATAAGCCTCTTGGGGTTTATATACAACTACACCCACGGTGTCCAACCCTCGTACATCAGGCAGAGATTGTCTTTGCTCGTCGCTTCCTCGATAATGTGCTCGACCTTAGAGGACGTAAATACTTCATGTAGATCTGTACTTGCATTTTGTCATAGACGATTTTGCTCTGGACTGTGCCGAAAATCTGGGGGAGAGAGGTGAGCAGCAAGGGGCTGGGGGCATGGGTTGGGGGTAAGGGCGAAGACCAAGGAAATTTTGAGATTTTTGGTTTTATTCAGTTCAAAATCCTTGTTTTAGTCTTATTTTAGTGCAAATTTTTTTTTCAGTGCGCACTCCCACAGAAAATCCATCCATGCATTTTCTATAAAGTAGGGGGTTCAGCTGTACTTTAGCCTGTACTCAGGCGCAGACCTAGCTTGTACAGAGTGCAAGTCGGGTACAGAGTGCAAGTCTTCGAAAGCAATCATATAATATTTACCTGTAGGATCTTTGCTTTTCTCCCGAAGTTATCGGTTTAAGACGTGTTTCAGTTTCTGCAGCGTGGCATTATTACAAATTGCTGTTTGATTGAGTATTTGAGTTTCCAATCATATTTTCAAAACTCAATTGGAGGTTCAGTTTTCCGAACCGTCTAATCTCTTTGCTTCCTTTTCACATGTGGTGATATTATCATTGCAAAGCAAAAGCAGTGAGCTCTATATATCTGGAACAAGAACTTCAGTCATTCGGTCTATGAGAAAAGTGAAGCCAAGATGACGGTCATTGACGTCCAATAGCTCTGAAGGTCGTAAACAGTTTTAATACCCCCTCCCCCCCCAAGCTAATTCCAGTTTTTTAACGGACCGTATCGCTAAACAAGTTATCACTTCATAAAAATCATTTTCTTTAAATCAATGTCAAAATAAGAAATTTCGGTACACTCCTTGCCAGTTTCATGTTAACCGCGCAGACAAAAACTATAGAAAGGGACTGGAACTGACGTCCAATAGCTCTTCAATTTCCACCATTTTTTGGACTCGTGTTCTCGCTCCAGATATACATATGGAGTTCACTGGGTAAAGATTTTCACACTCACCTGGTCTTCAACGCTCATTCTTTTAGTCGGATCAATGTCTCGTCCATCCAGCTTCGCCTTCACTCTTTTCCATACACCAATAGCATACATATTGCGTTCTTGCACAGCTGAAACACAACACAATACGACATTAATACAGGAACATAGTTTAGTTCAGGTTTCTGGTAACAATGGACCAATAATGAATGACTTTTATTGGATCTCTTGGGAGAACAGTTTAGAACCATCCAGTATAGATAAAGATACTTTAAACGTACCTTTACCAGTTCGAGGATCACGCATTGCAGAAGACTTTTTGGAAACAGAAGGTGCTATGGACCCTGCAGAATCAAATGAAACGTCAATCTTACATGTAAATATCCAGACATATTGAAGGCTGAATGCCTGAACCAGCCTTAAATCATTGCATTGTTTGTTGCGCTTACAGTCGTGGAAATAATACTTGCACTATTCGAGTGAATTTGAATAACTAATATGGATTACAGTGGCCCACTCTTTTGTTTACGCAGAATGTTTGTCACGTGGGGATCGAACCCTGGTCAGCAATGTCCCAACTCCTCATCCACACAATTCCAGAAAGTGATCAGACTTTATTTGAACACCACAATTGTTTCCCCCCACCAATTTACAATAAAGTTATAAATCCTAGTAGATTTCTCTTTGACTGTCTCTCTCATTTTACTTGACAGTGTATTCTTACCGCTACCAATGGTGTTTTAGTACCTGGTGTTGTTTGTCTTGACGGTGAAAACACTTGAATTGGACTTAGAACTTCTTTAAGAGCTGGGGTGAGTGGTGGACCCGGTGTTCCTGGATCGAATTGAGTTGACGTCACTGTTTCCTTGGCAACAGACGCACCTTGTTGACCACCTTGCCGTAAAGCTATAGATTGAGAGGAGTATCTTCAAAATCCATGTCATTTCAAATGTTCTTAGGTGAGTAAGTGGGGAGTGTGCTAATTATCCTTACTTGCAGCTGAGTGCCAAGTAGCTGAGCTTTGGAGGTGTTAGTTTATGCTCCTAGTGTACAGTAGATTTACACCAAGTTGGTGTCCACACAGAGGCAAGGGTGCTTTACACTTAATTATAGCCAAATCACATTTGAAGGTAAGTTTTACAAGTATTTGACAGCTAAGTAGCTAATTCACGCTTCAAATTTGATGCATAATTTGTCTTAACTTCGGACAGCTAACAGTTAATTTGAAATTTGCCGTTTACAATCAGTCGTAAACGTCAATCGTAAGGTCCATTTCCACTCAAGACAATTTTCCACGGAAAGAAAAATTTGTAAAATGTGATTGGCCGACACAAATTTTCCATCGGAAAAAATATTGAGGTTGAAAATTTTCAACTTTTGACAATGATATTTTCGAAAAATTTTCTGTCCGTGGAAATTTTTCTTGAGTGGAAATGGGCCTTTAAGGTGTACATGTACCTGAAGCAAAAGTCAGTGTTGTGCTCTCAGGAGGTTTCTCTGTGAGGTCTGTAACGGTATCGGTGAGCAATGGCGAGGCCAGAGAAGGAAGTTGATCAAACACCCTGAAATAAAATAGAACAGTGCACAATATTATACCTCAAATTCAAATTGTCCAATCAAGAAGCTTAGTTTGTGCCACGTGAGCATGAAATTAATCGCGATATCACGCCTTACGTCATCAATTAGCGAGCCTGCGTTCCTTTTGACAATGTTCCACCCCATGTTCCCCGGGGAACATGGGGTGGAACATTATTCGTGTAGACCGCGCGTGACAACACGCATGACAAAAACATGGCCGACAAAATATTAATAGTATTGATGAGTGATGAATAATCAAATTTTAAACGTAAAACCTGGTGCTTTTTCAAAATTTTGAAGCAAATTTTGAAAAATGTTGTCATTAATATTCCAAACGATATGTGATTCGAAAGAAAATCGACGAATACTTGCGTTAATTCGAAAATAAAACATCGTATTCACGAAGGTATGTGTCAAGTTTTTAATTCTCAACTTGGAGGCTTTTAATTTTCGGTATAATATATCATTTATAGACCCTCCGCTCGGGGGATTCGGCGAAATATTACCCTCAGTGATGATATTTCCCTCGGGGCAAAGCCCCTCGGGAAATATCATCACTTCGGGTAATATTTAATCGAATCCCCCTCGCTCCAGGTCTATAAATGATAAATATTCAAGTGTTGTGCTGAACAGGTGGGAAATTTGTCGTCGCTGACCAAAAATTCGCGGGCAGAAACAAAGCTCATTGCATTTACATTCAAAACAAAGCAGAAAGTTAGCAAGAAGCTGTTTTAGCTGACGATTTTTTGCTTTCCATTCAACGATTTACAAATTAACGGTTATTCTTTTAAAAGTCGACTATGAATTCTTTGGTTTGGGATGATTTGTTTTGTAATCGAGTGATTGGAAGAAGTTAATATGGCGACGTGACCATGGGAGTAAATACCGTATACGTCGATCTGTGGCTTGTTTAAAACCGTAATAAACGAAGAAAGACCTGATATGAGAATGAAATGTAAGTTGAAATTAACTTTATATGCCTCAAATTTTCCATCCTATGTTTCTTAATGTAACTTCGGCTGTCTAAGTTCAAAATACAAGCTCGCGAAATTTGACAAATTTTGAAAATATGTAAAAATAGCTTGACTTTGAACTGTATTTTCTCAAAAATAGCCCGTGGCCTCAATTTCAAATATAGGTAAATGAAAAGAAAAACTTTTAGGTGTTTGTAGCTATCAAACATATCGTCAGGAAAATAGGGGCTCACAATGTTCTAGCTGAGTCTTTGAGACCCAGTTGCTTCGCACGTGTTGTTGTCAAATTTTTGCCAAGAATCAAAGGCCAAAATGTGAACTTCCTTCATGAAAGCCGTTTCGAGAAGGGTCTAGTTTGAAAATTTAGCTATTAATTTCGATTTCATGAGCATATCTTGATTACACGTTAAATATTTTTGTACTTGATGAGATTCAAAATTTGTTGTATATTCAAGCCCGGCTTTAGTGTAATTTTGGTGATGACCGGAACAGAAATAAAGATATTTTAAAAACTGGCCGTGGCCTCACGATAAAACATTCTAAAAATGTTCTCTGTTTCATGTATTTTTATTTGATATCTTAGGTATAAGCGTAAAAATAGGGGCTCATACAGTTTATGAGGTTGTAAAATGCATGACTTGCCTCTATTTTCATGTAAACATTCGAAATTTTTCGACAGCAAAGTAGCAACTGTTTCAGATCGAATGCACACGGACAGCCCACCAGAGACAATGGCAGGGTACTGAAATAGAACGTCACTAAAAAATTCTGTATGATTAATTTAGATCATGTCCATTTTCAACATAAAACAGTAATTTATTTTGTACAAACATTTGGCAATATTTACACGATTGTGCCTTTTTGTAAACACGCGTTGCGTGTATTCCACGCAATTGGGTGGCTCATTTTGCTCACGCATGCTCAGACAAATTTTTCACCTGTTGTTGTGCTGTGGTATTTACGTTTTTAACTCTTTAAGTGGCAATGCACCGACAGCACCGTACTTTTTAGTTTACTCTGTCTAACGCCAGACAATTTCACTTGTCAGGTGGACAGTGCATGCCGCCACTCAATGGGTTAACATAGTCGATGAACATGCCAAATGATCCTTGACCGTGGTAGTGCATTTTTGCACTTGCTGGATGATATCGCAAACAAGCATTGTTTCAGAGGAAGATCCCTGAGATCATGCTGTGTAGCAATTGGAATCTCGCATAGAGGCTGCTCTCGCATAAAGCAGGCAAGACCTTCACTCATGATCAGAAGCCAGGATTAATATTAATTCCCCACATAAACACTTGGAAACCAGACTGTCCCATCTGCCATATGCAGGACAAAAACATGCAGCCTGGACTTTAACTGTTAAACAACCAAATCAGCATGATAAACAGTGTGATGATTTTTGCTTAGCCCAAACCAAAGCCAGTTTTCTAGAATTAATTTGCAGAATCATAAGAATTGGACCTCCAACTTGAAGAGCTAGCTGTGCTAACCATGTTGCATGGGCAACCCTGAATTGAAGTGACTAGAGCAAATCTTCAAAAAATAATAGAGAGATCAGATTTGACTTCCACTACTGCTATCATTAACTAACCAGATAAGTTTCATTTATCCAATCAAACAATCGGATGCAACTGCCAGATCAAGTAGTGGTAGTGGAAATTTGATCAAAAAATTAGTAGTGGTAGTCAAATTTGAACCTTTCTATATGGATTTCAGAGAGACCAGTCTTTATTTGCTGATATATTATTATAACTTGTTACTTGTATAATCAAAAGCTACTATATATTCATTTATGATACTTAAAATTGATATTTATCTATAAAGTAAGTGAGAATAATTTAAAAAAAATATTTATAACATAAAATGATTCATGCGTGCTGGTGATTGAATAAACCATGAAGTGTGCATTCTGAATCTCTACAAATTCCTTGACATTATTTTTCCAGTACAGTGTAAAACTATATAAATGTGACACAGGTTGCAGGTATTATGTTGCATGTCCACCAGTGTGCTGAAATACCATCCAGTGACCCGGTCTTGTTCATTGTTACTTGCATTTTGCTTAATTCAACTGTTTTTTGCCCCATTTCTTGTAAATTCTTTTCAATAATGTAGAAAATTTCAAAATCATTCAGTAAATTTAATTTTAAAATTTGGTGAAAGGTAGGGGGTCAACAATAGATGAAGAAATCATTTCTTCTTGTTCATTTTATCGAAGCCTTCAGACAAAAATTATGGCAACAAGGTTACACGCCACATTGCAGAGTTAGGCATTTTTTTTAAAGATCTCAAGGGCACAAAGGGTACGTATAAATGTAGATTGTAGGGGTAAGGGAACAAAATAATGAAATTTTGAGATTCGGGGGCAGGTTTTACAATGGGGTGCTAAACATTTTCCCTAAAAAATCCCTGACCAGCTGGAGTGCTGAAACTGATGTTTGACTATTGAAATATCCTAGCAGGTTAGGCTCATCAGATTTTAGCTTTGTTAACCGCGCCACTCTATTATTACAGTGAATGGCTCAATTAAGTAAGTTCAGGTCATTACTGTAAACGTAAACACAAAGTAAACTGTAGTTTAATAATTCTGTAAGTATAAACACGTTTCTCGCAGCGATAAATCAATATTGAAAATAATAATCATGTGAGAGTAGAACTTTACTGAGAGTCTGAGTATAGTATTATAGGCCATAGTCTGGCCATGTGTTTCTCAATATTTAATGTACAATTGTACAAATTAAGCTAACTATATTAACATACTGTATAAAATATATTTAATAGCTTTCGAAATATATATTTCATAGAGCTAGTCAGTGTAACAAATAATGGGAATGTGCTAAATAATTTGTAACCATGGAATACTTCTAAACATTTTCAAATTCATAATGTACCTTTTACTTGATGGAAATTATCACAAAATTATAGTATGTACGAGGTTGGCTCCATTTTCACTGCTTCGAAATTCGAAACATCGCCTCCTCGGCGATTTATATGATGCAATATAAAAGAAGATTGATGTACATTCGACGTAATATATAAACGTAACATATTAAAAAGAATTAAATAATCAGCGGCAATTCAAGTTCTACTCGTGAACTTTTCGTCGCTCCCGTCTTTATTTCCATACAGCTCGCTCGCAGGCTAATTCTCCAAGAATCTTGGAGTATTTGCCTGACACGTGACCAGCGTTTACCAGGGCCTCGCCGGCTTTGGCGGCCATATTAAAAAATCGGGCGGGCAGGCCCTGGGTACGAGGTTGGTGGCGGAGTACTTGTAGCTGTTAAAAATGAATTCAAAGTATCAGGACGTACAGACCTGGAAAGGGATAAAACGGAAATGGTGGTGGTTGAACTTGTCATTAATGGTAAACCATTATTATTGTACATTTTCTACCGTTCTCCAGGATCAAACTGAATTCCTCTCTACAGAGTACTCGCGATCGAATCAAGCCGTCAAGTAGTGGTTGGTGATTTCAACATTCCTTCAGTGATTTGGTCAATAGACGAACCTACACCAATTAACACAGGCGGACACGCGGCAGGAGAAAATTTGTGTGATGTGGTAGGGGATAACTTTCTGCATCAATTTATTAAAGGTTCTACACACATCGCTGGAAACAAGCTTGACTTATTCTTATCTAACTGTCCAGAAATTGTCGAAAATGTTACCACTCTTACTCCTGGACTAGTCTTGCCAACTGATCACCATGCTGTTGAATTTTCAATTAAATTAAAATTTAAACGATGCGAGCCAGTGCCACGTAAAGTGTTCGACTTTAATAGAGGTAACTTCGATGAACTTCGCAGTTCCCTTCTGCGTATACTACCTGACTTCACTATGTCAACGGACAGTATCGATGATTGCTGGCTGAAATGGAAAAAATTGTTTCTTGACGCTGTGGGTAAATTTGTTCCAACAAGGACCATCAAAGACAAAAAATGTCCGCCTTGGATTGACGGAGAAGTTCGCCATTTCATAAGAAAGAAATACGATGCTTTGAGAAAATTTCGGAAGGACAGATCTGATATCCGCAAACAAAACCTGCGCGAACTAAGTCAAAAAGTGAAATATTTGATAAGGGCAAAGCACCGCGAGTATCTCAAGAAAATTGAAGGTTCTTTCAAGGACAATCCAAAATTATTTTGGAGTTACCACAAGGCTATCTTACACCACCATGGAAAGTCAACTTCGAAAATAACACATAATGACAAAACAGCAACTACACCAGCTGGTAAGGCAGAACTGTTCAATTCATATTTCTCTTCTGTATTTCGTCCTCCCTCTTCGCAACAAGATATCGACAATAGGAATTTACTAGATTATCCTCCACCCGAAGTACTGTTATCCGAACTCACTGTGACAGTCGAAGATGTTACAAATTATCTCAATGCTCTGGACATCACGAAAGCAAGTGGGCCCGACGAAATCCCTGCTCGTCTCCTTAAAACTTGTAGCAATGAAATCGCGCCAAGCCTCTGCTCCCTCTTCAACCGATCGCTAGAAACAGCTCGTTTACCGTCGGAATGGAAAATGGCCAATATAACTTCAGTACACAAAAAGGACTCCCTTGAACCAGCCATCAACTACAGACCTATCTCCCTGCTGTGCATAATAAACAAAGTTCTAGAACGTCTTTTGCAAGAAAGAAGGGAGAGGCGGACTTGGCTCACCTGCAGTGTTTCGAATCAGATTTATTATTTTGGTGGGAATTATAGTAATAGACAGGTGTTATTAATTTAGCGGTTTTGTTACAAATACGGAAATCCACAAGTGCATGTAAGGGCAAAACGTTAAAATACCCGTCGCGATCGAAACAAAATAGTCTTGCATTGAAAATATTAAAATATAAAGGTCACTGCAAAATAAAGTTAACTTAAGGCAATATATCAACAATCAACATCTATTTATTATAATTG